GAATTTTGAAGTATGGGCATCAGTATTTCTGTGTATAATTAGAATGCACAATTACTTTCAAAACCTGCTTCCTCCCCTTCCTCTTTAGGTTAAGCTTCATTCTCTGCTTGTGTCTGATCTGTTTTTTCAAGCCTTGATCACTAGAAAGAACTAACGGGATCACCATCTATGCGAAGAGAGACTCTCGTATTTGTGTATGTGTGCAAAAGGAAAGTAGCTCTACATTTCATTATTAATAGATTTTCTCACTGCGCATTTCCAAAAGGGAATATTTCTCCTATTTCACAGGTCTCATTTTATTGGCCGTACAAAGAGAAACAACCATTCACTTACTATGCCAAGATCATTTGCTTTCTTTAGTATAAATGTTAATGCAATTTTCCTTCTACTGCACTAATTGGTAAACGAACTATTGCCGTTACCCCAGCCCTACAAAACATATCAGTCATTTCTAATAAACCTAGACTTTGAGATGGCTTATTATTATCCTTTTACGCTACTGGAAGTGGATTCCTTCACTGAACTACTAGGACATGCTCCACTCTAGCTAATGAAGGTGGATTGGGAAACACTATCCAAATAAACAAGGAGCCCTGATGGCATAGTGGATTGCACATTAGGCTGCTACCCAAAAGACAGCACTTCAAAACCGCCAGCTGTTCCTAGGGAGAAAAGCGAGGCTTTCTACTCCCCAAACAGAATACCTGTACAAAGCAAACTACAGAACATTCTTACAAGAAACCAAAAGGGACCTACACAAATAGAAGAATGTCCCGTGTTTGTGAGTCAGAAGACTCAATGCTGTAGAACTGTCAATACTCCCTAAAGCGACCTATCAATTCAATGCAATCACAATCCAAACTCCAGCATCACTCTTTAAAGAAGTGGAAAAACTAATTACCAACTTCGCTGGAGCGGGAAGAAGTCCAGGATAGGCAAAAAATGCCTCCAAGAGAAGGAAAAGGAGGTGTCTTTCACTATCTGACCTCAAAACCTACTACAGAACCACAGTTGTCAAAACTGCCTGGTACTGGGATAATGATCGATACACAGGCCAATGGGTCAAGACAGAAAATCCAGAAATAAAAACATCTGCATACAGACAACTGATTTTTGACAAAGATCCAATAAGCAGTAACTGGGAAGGAGATGCTCTCTTCAATAAATGGTACTGGAAAAACTGGATATCCACTGCAGAAGAATGAAACAAGACCCATATCTCACCCCATGCACAAAAACAAACTCAAAGTGGACCAAAGACCTAAAGGTAAGACCCAAAGCTGTCAGGAACATCAAAGAGAAAATTGGGACGATGCTAAGTGCGCTAGTACAGGGAATACACAGGCTACCAGATATGATACACAAAGCACACTCTGTGAAAGACGATATAAATGAGTGGAACCTATTAAAAATAAAACACTGTGTGCATAAACATATTTCATTAAAAGAGTAAAATGAGAGCCCACAAATTGGGAAAAGATATTTAGCAACAACATAATGAATAACAGACTAATTACTGACAATTACAGTACACTACAAGTCTACAACAAGAAAAAATACGAATAACCCTCTGGGAAGATGGGGAAAGGACCTGAACAAATGATTCATAAAGGCTGACACCTGAATGGCTAATAAACACATGCGGAAATGCTCTCATTCACTTGTCACCCAGGAAAGGCAAGTCATAACAGCCATGAAATACCATGTAATAACCATAACCGTGGCCCAATTTAAAAAAATGAGAACAACCAATGCTGGAGAGGGCCTGAAGAAACTGGAACTCTTATTCACTAATGGTGGGCTTGTAACTACATGCGGTCACTGTTGCAAAAGTTATGGCAATTCCTACAACAAATGACAAGAGAAATGCCATATGACCCAGCAATACCATTATGGGCACATACCACAGAGAAATACGAAACAGATCACAAACAGACATATGCTCGCCATGTTCATTGTAGCATAATTCACAAAAGCAAGAAGTTGGAAACAGCCTAAATTCCCATCAGTAGAAAATAGGATTAAAACCTCTGGTATATACACACAAGAGAATACTACATATTCCTGAACAAAAGCTATGAAACCATGAAGCACCTTATGACATGGAAGGATCTGGAAGGCATTATGCTGAGTGCAGTTAGTCAATCACAGAAGGACAAATACTGTATGCATCTACTGCTATAGAAATAAGCAATAGGATAGGCATAAGCTCAAGCTTGCAGGGCATCCAGTCTGTTGGCCAGGGTGACCATGCAGCCTGGTAGAGAGTCTGGCTGGTGACGCTGAACCATCCACCATCTTTTCTAGGTGTGTAGCTTGAGGGTGACTTTCTAGGTATGTATCCTGAAAGTCACTTTGCTGGAGGGAGCTTCATGTCAGCTGGGAGAAATTGTTAAAGGAATGGGGTGGATATTGTATACTGAGTGACGTGGTCCCCCAGCAGGTAGACAGCTCTATCAAAGGGATAATGGACACTGATGGGAAAGTCAAGGCAGGAGAGTGGGAAGGGTGAAAACACATCTGGAGGAGCATACATGCGTGACTGATGGTAGGGAAAGGGGGAAGCATGACTGAAAATGTCCCTGGTGGTATGTACCAAATGAACACCTTGACCTGGACTTTGAGTGCATGTTGAGGGCGCAGGCTCCGGGCCAAGGAATGCTGGGGCATTGAGTCCGGGACCTTCAGCATGCTCCAGAGGCTGCATCAGTGAGATCCGATGTGGAAAATCCACTGGGTGAACTGCATTCGGCCTCAGACATACTTGTAACTTGGGGACTGAAGACGGAGAATTCACGATGTCTCAGGAAGTAAAAAGCAGCTGCAACAAGATTGCTGAACTGTTAGTGAGCCTACAATCATGGTCCTGCTACAGCAACGCCTTATATGCTGTATTAGGATATATATGACTCCAACAAACCTATGACTGACTGTGCCAGTGAATATTATTTTTACTTTTCCCTGACAACCAGCTCTGATTGATTGTGTAAATAGTGTCCAGCCATGAAAGGGTTGGTTCTGTACAAGGGAAGAATGCAGGTACTACAATATGGAGTTAGCCAACAGTGGCCCACTATCCCCCTCTCAACAGTGCTTTAAAAATGTGCTTCCAATGGCTAATCCAAGACAATATTAATGGAAGATCTCTATGCCCCAGGGGATGATCTACAAGATTCTCTACCATAAATTAACAAGGAGGTTTGGGAAAGGAGCCAAAGGCAGGTTAAAAAAAAAACAACAGAATGGGTTTTGGGTTTGCACTAAATCCTAGCTCCAATTTAAGAACAATTACCATATATACTCAAGTATAAGCCGACCTGAATATCAGCTGAGGCACCTAATTTTACCACCGAAACTGCATAAAAATGTGCTGAAAACTCGGCATATACACAAGTATATACGATAATTCTTACATCTTGGTCTGCTTGATATTTGCCCTCAGGAAGGGAACATAGAAGATATGGGAACATAGCAAATGTGGTGAAGAAATTAGATAGTGTTGGACTATCGGATAAAATAGCATTTGGGGTGTTAAAGGCCTGTTTCCAATCAAGCAGCCATCTAAGTTAGATGTTAACTAAGTTCACATGGACGAAGCACACCAACATCAGTGACCCAAGGATTTTAAATCATATAATCCAAAGCCAGATGAGGAAATAGTATCAGCACCTAAATTGTGAGAATCTGGTTTGCAGGATGACAGTGGGAGCCCACTATACTTTTGCGGGATCTACATAGGAAATAAGCCTCCGATGATTCCCCTCTGTCCATAATAGTGAGATGGAAAGAAATAGGTAACCAGGCGGCATGGCAGAGATTACTGTAGAGCATCAAAATGATAAGCCCGACCTGAAAGGTTAAAACCTTGTCAGTTGTTCCCCTTCTGGGGCACATTAGGCCTGATCTGCTTTTCAAGGTCTTTTTTTTTTTCTTTGTTCGTCTTGGGGTTTATCTCAGATGTGTTTTGTCATTGAGGGTGACCGTCTTGAATTTTTGTTATGTTTTTCTGTTTTTCAGTATGAAATCCAGGGTTTCTGAATTTAGAGGGAAAGCAAGCAGAATAAGGGTTTCTGGATACAGTGGGGGGAGGTGTGGGGGAGTGTAAAATGGAGCTGATTTTAAGGAGCTCAATAGAAAGAGAATGTTTTGAAACTAATTGTGTAAGCAATTCTACAATACTACTTGATGTGATTGAACTATGGAATGATATGATATCTGCATTAACTCCCAATAAAATGTTTGTTTGTTTGTTTGTTTGTTTGTTTGTTTGTTTGTGGGGAGGTTGACAGTGTCAGAAACCCATGGGCAGGTCTCCCATTTTCCTTTCCATGGGGTCACTGTTAACTGAATAGATGGCAATGAGGTTTGGAATAGAGATTCAAATAAACAAAACTGTTGAGTCTTGGGGTTATTTTAGACAAATATAATGTTCACCAGAATCTGTAATCTCATGTCCCAACCTTTTTTTTAGAAGTTACTTACAGACATTACAATACTCTTATCCATAGTGCCTGTGGTTTTTTACTTTTGCAATATGATTTTGAAAGAAACCATCCAGTCTTGGAGATCTAGAATCTCCTCGAACATTAATTAGAGATGGTACATTTAAACACAAATATGGTTTACAGTGTTAACTACATGTAGTCATATAGAGAGAGTCAACTGAGGGAATACCTTCAAAACTAATATTCATACAATAGAGAAATAAATAAAGATCAGTGAGAACTGTACATAATTTCTGGGTTTCAAATAATACTAATAGTAGTCAATACAAATAATACTGAAAAAGTCACTTTTGAAGGAGAGAATGATGACGAATTTTTGAAAACTAGATTTTGTCATTATTCATGCTACTCGTATATTTTGGTATTGATTCAAAAGTACTTTGGGCTTGTTGCATAAAGAATGTAGTGCTACGCGATCAAAAGATAATGGGTAAGCAACACGTGGTATGTCTTGTTCCTTGCCACTGAGTCCATTCTAATCCGTGTCAATCCTAGGTCAGCAGAGGAGAACTCTCCAGACGGGTTTCAAAGCAGTGACCTTTCTGAAGCAGATCGCCAGGCTTGTCTTCCAAGGGCCCATGGGTGAGCTAAAACTCCCAGTCTTTGCATTGGGAATTGAGCAATTCACCAAGTGCACTACACAAGAAACTATGATATGTATGTACTGTAGTCTTGGAATATGATTCAGCCAGAAACATACATTACGTTTTGATATATGGTACCACATAAATTAACCTTGAAAACAACAGGCTGAATAATATGTCAGAACAAGATAACAAATATTATGAGACCATATATATAAAATGTCTAAAGAAGCTATTTTGCGTAGCGACAAAAGTTGACTAGTGGTTGGAGAGGAATAAGGGGTAAAAATACAAAGTTGGCAAATTCTCATATTCGTATTTTCCTTGGGGAAAACATAAAGTATTTCAATGCCTCTGGGATCTTCAAGGGAGGAAAAACACACTTTGGTGATAAGGCTAAAATAATTTCTATTCTCATTGAAGCAATCAGATTGTGCCCAGTTTTCAGAAAGAAAGTCTACGGTCTTAAAGCCTGGTCTGAAAAGTAGCACCCATCTGAGTGAGGTGACAACTACTCCACAAGAAGGAAGCACCGCAGCTTGTGTGATCTGATAACTGTCAATAATATTCTGAGACTGTACATCTTATAAGAACACACATCCTTATTTTTACTACAGAAGTGACTAGTTAGATTTGGCTATGGATTTTGTGGTTAGTAGTGAAATACTGTATCCACATAGAAAGAGGAGAATAATATTGAGGGCAAAAGGAGAGTTGAAAATGGTGAGGAAGAAATATACATAGAGAAATGGCTCTTCAATGTGATCAGGTACTGTACCACATGGGATTTGTAGAGTTATTTCCCTACAACAACCAAATGAAATTGTTTCAATGATACACACTTTGGTATTTCTAATTCCATCTTGAAACCTGGGCAGAGTTTTAATACAGTACAAAATTGCTATAAAATTAAATAGTGCAAATTAAGTCACAGTTCCGTGAGCCCAATTCCACATACACACAAAATAAAAGTGCTTTAGCTAAGCAAGAATGAATGCTTTCCTCTGAGTTCTTCCAGTTATAATATTTTTATCTTTTAATGTTCAAAAACTTAGCAATAATAGGAAATCAGAAAAACCGTGTCATAAAATATAGTAAAATTTCTTTTGGTGCACTCCTGTTGCATTATCTCTGATTTATGATAACCACCCTATGCAACAGAACAAACCAGTACAGTGTCTTCATGGTCATTGGTTCGCCTCTGTCCACTGTTGCAGTTGCTGTGTATTTTGAGTACCTTCCACCTCGAGGGATTCTAATCTACCACTGTACCGAACAATAGGATGGTGTGATCCATAGGCTTTTCACTGGCTAATTTTCAGAAGTGGATCATCAGGTCTTTTGTCCTAGTTGGCAGAAATGAATCTGGAATCTCCACAGAAGCCTGGGTCCTATGAGTGACCCTGGTATGATGATGCCACAGTAAGAGTCCACACTAGCAACACATAAATTACCACTGTATAATAAACTCAACAGATAGCTGGTAAAACAAAAATTTAGTATTATCAAGCCCTCTGAGTTAGTTAATTGTGCCAGCCTGGCCGATAATCACATGTGGTGCTGGTTGAAAGGCGGAGGGATAAATGGGTGGTGAAGCCTCGCCTTTCTAGTTCTCGGGTCTCTTGTTTTGTGATGGTTGCATCGGGTGCAGCTGCCTTAGCAGTTCCCTGCTTCAGCTTGCAAGATGGATTTCCTACAAGACATCCCCAAGGAGAAGCCGCATGGATCTATCCCGATGCAGCCCTGGGTGCTGGAGCAGCCGTGTGGGAGACCCCTGCCAGTGCTGAGATGCTTACACATTCACGGACTCAGCTTTCCTCCTGCAGCCGGCATTATTGCCTCTGTTTTGTGAGGTGGAGGACTTTGTGGACTGGTGTTGGGTTAATGGGTTAATGTTGGACTTGTGGCCTTGGGTAGCATTGGGTTGGGATGTTTTCGTGATGCACATTTTCTTTGCATAAAACTCTCTCTTATACATGAGTTGCTGTGGATTTGTTTCTCCAAAGTACCTAGACTAATACACCCTCTATCTCCTTTTTAGTTTCTCTGTTTCTCTTGTAAGTTTGGATGGCTGACATTGTTTTATTGTAATCGGAGAGAATGATTCTGTTTATTAACCACCCCGTGCTTCATGTGTGCATAGCTTCTGAGTCACACATAGAAATAAGAACAGAAAGGAGAAGCCCTAGTTAGGTGTAAGACAGGCTTATGTGATTTTAATTGCAACACTTTAAAAAAAGACATAGAGGTGACATTTTCCCATGGGTATAATAAGAATCAATGGTGAGAAGTAGCTTCCAAGAAAGCTAATTGGATTTAGGCTACATTAACAGGAAGATTATCTCTAGAGCAAAAGCGATAGCATTTCCTCCTACTCCTCAAGGGAAAGAGAATGCCTACATTGCTGCATTTAGAACTTTAAGTGGGGTACAAAGAAACAAGTGCACACTCAAAGAAAGTGGCTACAACAGGTTAAAAAAAACCTGGAAGCCATGCTATATAGAAGGAAGAGGAAAAGGTATTTAAGATGTTCCATTAAGAGGAAGCAAAAGCTATGTGCATGAGTGCCCCTAAGTAAAAAGAAAAGATAAAGTTGGGCAAGGATATAATAGACTGTGCCCAAAATCTAGCGAGAGTCCCATTACTGTACTCGTTCAAGGAAGCCCTTGAAGTTGCTGTGCTGAAAGCACTCAACCTGTAACCAGAATGGTTGTTGGGGGAAGAACTAAGAGTCAATTAGTAAAGGAGTATGCCTCACTTCTCTGAGACGGGATTTATTTGTTTGGGGGTTGCTTTGCTTTGCTTTACTACAGTAACTCCCAGATGCCATCTGTGTCTTTGAACTTGAGTCCCACCCTCTAATTCTTAGATGCTCCTGTTAGGTGCCTTTGAGTTGGCTCTGACACACTGTGACTGTATAAAGAGCTGAAGGGCACACTGCACAGTCCTGTACCATCCCTATTTCATTGAGGGCCTTCCTCTTGTGTTCTGACCTTCCACTTTACCAAGCATGATGTCCTTCTCCCAGGCCTGGTCACTCTTGGCAGTATGTTCAAAGTATCGAAGATAATGTCTCCCCATCCTTGCCTCTAAGGAGTACCCTGGCTGCACTTCTTCCAAAACAGATCGGTTTGTCCTGTTAGTAGACCATGCTACTTTCAATATTCTTCTTCAGCACCACAATCCAAATGCATGGATTCCTCTTCATTCTTCCTTACTCAGTGTTCAACTTCTATATGCGTATGAAAACCAAAGGAGCATGCCATGGCTTGGATCAGGAGCATCTTAGTCCTCCAAGTAACATCTTTACTCTTGAATACTCTTGAGAGGGTTTGTGCAGCATAATTACCTAATGCAACAAATCTTTTGATCTCTTGACTACTGCTTCCATGGGTATTGCCTGGGGATCCAAGCAAGATAAAATGCTTGTTATTTATACATTTATCATATTATATCTTAGCCCAGTTGTGAGGATTTTGGTTTTCTTTATATTAAGTTGTTCTTATATACTGTGAATCATATACACAAAGCAATGAGATAGCCTACTTAGATTTTGTCACTAGTACTATAAATCACAATCACAATAAACAGTGTCTTGTTCCTACACCCTGGTACCCAAGACACCAACATATCACTCTTGACACATACCATCCAGCAGAGAAGGGGAAGCGGAAAAAGATCGGTCAAAAATATAAGAACTCAATAAAATACAAACCTGTTTTCTAGTGTATGGAACAGCTAGCTATCTTCTAAACCTGAAGCTTCTGACTACAAGTAGTTATTAAACTATTGAAATGTGCTACTGAGCTATTGAGCCATGGTGGCTTTGTCCATTACTAACCACAGCGTAAGTGGTTCAAGCCCATCAGAAGCTCGGTAGAAGAAACTTGAGGTTATCTCTTCCCCTAAAGATTTATAACTTTGGATCCTCTGTATAGAGTTGGAAGGGACTGGATGGCAGGGGATTGGGTTTTAGAGTAAATGTAAAGCACATACAAAAATTTAAAGATTATTGTGAAAAAAAATTCTACAATATTGCATGAATAGCTTTTTGATTATATGTTTAAATAATGGATGAGTTAAAGGCCTACTATTAAAATTAAGTTTACCTGTTCATTTTAAAATTAGTGAAGCCTAAAATATTTAAGATACAGCTGTGCCTGACACTATATTTCTATTAGATAATATTTATCTAGACAAGGGGCCAGAACTGTCTTCTGTGAAGAACCAGATATAAATGACCTTAGCCAGGTCTCTGCCTGACAACTCCGATCTGTCACTAAAATGCAATGGCAGCCATGGTCAATATGTAAATGAGTAAAACTTTACTTACAGAGACTGAAAATTGAATGGCATAAAGTTTTATTTCATGAAACACTATTTTTCATTGGAATTATTTTTAATAATTTAAAATGCAAAAATGCGTCTCCACGTGTTGAAATGAAATCCCTTGGTATGACTCATATCCATAAGTCTTTGTAACGCCCACAGAGTCACAGCAAATAAGAACATGCAAATCAAGTGTATAAGACGCTGACTAGGGGATCGGCCAGTTTTTCCATTATGCTGGATATAAGAGTGAGTTATCTCAAAAGCAGGGAGAGGAAATCCATGGCCATCAAGAAGGAAGATTCACCGGAGAACTATGAGACCCCTGCCGAATGTGGTGGAGTCAACCCAGGCGCTAGGCCCCATTGCTCCTAATGTATGAGAAACAGTAGAGGAACTGTGCCCGGTGCATGAGACAGAGTGGCAAATGGGCCTCCAGGTCTATGGAAGCGAAGACCAAGGAACTACATAGCAGCAAGTGTGAAGATCAGAGAGACAAGCCTGCCACCCAGGGTGAGACGAGACACTGTGGATAAAATAATTATATTCTAACTACTTTGAATCTTATTAGCTTCCCTAATAAACTGCATAATTGTGAGTATTATCTGTGAGATTTTTGTGGCATTTGGAAGGAATTACGGAACCCAACAGAAGGAGAATGCTAGGGAA